TTTCCAGCACTATATCTGACAATGTTCCATTGCTACTCATAAGACTAAACATTCAGAAGTAGTCTGCCTCTCCTTCTTTCTTGCCTGTCTTAGTCTGGAAACTTCACTGAAACCTGTCCACCATGGGTGACCCCGCTGGTATTTAAAATACTGGTGGCATAGCTTCCATCATCACAGCAACATGTTCAGTATGACAAACTAACAGACAAGTGGTGGAGAAAACAAGAGACCTGCGTAAATGGAAGAATAGACCATTTTCATGGCTAGGAAGATTTAACATGGGAAAAATGTTAATACTACCCAAAGAGATCTACTAAAAAAACAAAATCAAGATTTTAACATCATTCTTTAAAGATATGGAAAAATGAAACACCAATTTTTATGGAAATGAAAGAGACCCTAGATTGGCAAAACACTACTAATAAGAAGCAAAGCAGGAGGCCTCACACTTCTCTAAATCAAAACCTACTATATAGCCACAGTTGTCAAATCAGCCTTGTACTGATATACTAGACACATAGACCAATGGAACATAATTGATAACTCAGAAGTAAATCCATCCACATATGGACATCTGGTCTTTGACCAAGGGCTAAAACCAGTTAAATGGGGAAGACATCATTTCTTTAATAAATGCTACTGGCAAAACTGTATGTCCACCTGCATAAAAATAAAACAAAACTGATATTACACACCACATACAAAAATGTATTTAAGATGGATCAAAGACCTAAGTGTAAATTCTAGAACATCAATGAAAAAATAGGTGCGAACATGTTGGTGTTGCTGTTAAGTGCCATCAAGTCAGTTCTGATTCACTGTGACCTCATGTAGTATTTCCAAGGAATAGCTAGTTGGTTTGACTGACCAACCTGTGGTTAGAAGTCCATTGTTTATCTTACAGCATCACACCATGACTTCAGGGACAAATGTAGGGACCCTAAAATGTAACATAAATAGACTATCAAGCATAACTAAACACACACAAACAGCAAAAGACAAACTAAATGACTGGATCTGGGTCTCCTAAAGATTAGACACTTGTGTGCATCAAAAGATTTCACTAAAAGAGTAAAAAGAGAAAATTTTGGCAATAATATATCAGACAAGGGAACACTTTAATTGTGCTCATGCAGAACCTGTACATAAACCAAGAGGCTATTGTTAGGATAGGATAAAGATATATTGTATTATTTTAAATTAGGAAAAGTGTGTGTGTTGGTTTTGAGCAAATAATCCAAGAAAGAAAAGAACTTGAAGCATTTACTGATGAAGATCAGAAACAGCAGCCTTCAATATGGATTGCACATCAACAGAAAGAAAACAAAAATCCTCACTACTACACCAATAAGCAACATTATAGCAAATGGAGAAATTATTAAAGTTGTCAACATTTTCATTTAACTTGAATCCACAATCAATGCTTATGGAAGCAATAGTCAAGAAATCAAATGAGGTATTGCACTGGGAAAATCTAATACAAAATACCTCTTTAAAGTATTTAAAAAACAAAGATGCTACTTTGATAATTAGGTGCACCAGACCCAAGCCATGGTATTTTAAATTAACTACTCATGTGCATAGATTCCTGGTATGGCAATGCAAGATAAACACTCAACCATAAGGTCAGTTTCAAACAGAAGATCAGTGGTTCAAACTCACCAGCTGCTCCTCAGAAACCCTATACAGGGTTGCAATGAGTTGAACCAACTCGATGGCATTTAATAACAACAACAACTCACATGCATGCAAAAGCCAGACAATGAATAAAAGAAGACTGATGTTAGAGAAGAATATTAAATATATGATGGATTGTCAGAAGAACTGAGAAAACTCTCTTTGAAGAAAATGTCATGTTTCTTAGAAGTGAAGATAGGGACACTTCATCTCGTGCATTTTGGATAGTCTGTCAGTAGGGATATCATGCTTGGTAAAGTAGACTGTGGATAAAAAAGAGAACGTTCCCAACAAGATTGATTGCTACAGTGCCTACAACAATGGGCTGGAACATAGTAATGACTATGCAGCTGGGGCAGAACTAGGTAGTGTTTCAATTCTGCTACGAATTAAAACCTACTTAATGGCACCTAATCAGAACAGCAATTTTTCTCACTCTTTCCCTCAAATATCTTCTGGGATTTCCATGCTGCAAATGTTATATAACTTGTTGTTGTCCCACAATTCCATTAGACTTTTCTCAATTTTCTTGACATTTTTCTCATGTTGCTCTTTAATTTCAGTAATTGGAATTACCTTACTTAACTTCTTATCTAAGAAGCTCTAGTGATGCTGTAGGATAAGTGCTGGACTGTTAACAGCAAAGTTGACAGTTCAGACCTACCAGCCACTCTATGAGAGAAAGATAAGCTTTTCTGCTACCTAAAGACTGACAGCCATGGAAGCTCTATATAGGGTCTCTGAATCAGAATGGACTTTATGACAATGAATTTGAGCTTTTGGAGTTTGTGTTCTTCTTTGATTTTCTGATTTCTTCTTCTGCACGCTCAAACCTGTTGCTAACACCTTCCAGTGATTTTTTAAATTTCATTTATTGTATTTTTCATCTTTAATATTTCTGCTTACGGAGCTCTGGTAGCGTAGTGGTTACGAATCGAGCTGTGAACCTTAAGGTCAGCAGTTCGAAACTACCAGCTGTTCTGCAGGAGAAAGATGAGGCTTTCTGCTCCCGTAAAGATTTACAGACTCGGAAATCTGTTACAGGGTCACTATGAGTCAGAACCGACTCCATGGCACATAACAACAACAATATTTTTGCTAGATTCTCCTTTTATAGTTTCTCTTTTTGAAATTCTTGGTTTGTTCCTTTGTTGTCTTTATTACCTTTAGGTAATTGCCCTTTTCTTCTTTGAGTGTGTTTAATATTATCTTAAAGTCTTCTAATACATCCATTATCTTGACTTTCATAGGCTCAATGTCTGTCTCTTCATATTATTCTTGCTCTTGGGTTATTCTTTCCTATTTCTTTCTTTTTATTGTTATTTTGTTGTTGTTGGTTTTGAAATTCGGACATCTGAATATTATTATACTGTAATTCCCTCCCCAAGTATTGACTTTTGTATTTAATCAATTTAGTTTTAAGCTTTGAAAGATGCAATTATCTATCTGTTCAGCGACTTCCTCTGACTATTTTTTCTGAAGACTGCCTTCCAAATCATTCAGGAACACTGAGGATTATTGTTTTCAAGCCCATGCCTAACTAGCGATTCAAAAGAGATTTCTTTGTATTCCAGGGAAGAAACAAGGAGCAAAAATAGAAAATATCTGATTGTTCCTCAGGGATTACTGTCATCAGTTATTTATATTTGCAGTAAACTGTTTTAAAACATTTTCAAGCTAATGTTTTTTAAGTGTGATTCAATTATGCTATTTCAGTGACTTGACAGAGTTTGCCACAAGAAACTCTAATACATTAAATCTGCAAGCAAGGTCCAGCACAATACTGGGAAAAGGCCACTGTGGCTGCTGTGGTATGTGCCTGCCTGCCATAGCATGGCTAAACCACCTCCACTATGCAGTTGTTTAACTGCAGGTTATTTAGAGGATAAGATTTCTACTGCCTGACCTAGCAGCAGTCTGCCATTCTATGAACATGGAACAATTGATTCCACCACAGAAGAGGGGCTGAAGAATGGGGATGGTAACTGATAGACACACATGGTTCACAGCAGATTATCCCTTCATCAAGCCCTCCTCTTATTGAGTAATCAGTTCTGCCACAGAGATTCAAAATAGTTGATTCTAATGTCTCTTTCCAGTTTTGTTTTTAGTTAATTGGAAGGGTGGACTTTTTGCATAATTTCATGTTGGTAGTATAGAGTACATTCACATCAGCCCTTAAAAGTAAAGCCTATACTTTGATATGGAGTCCTGGTGTGGCTCTGTGGGTTGATGTGCCAGACTGCAAAGCCATTTGAACTGCAAGGTTGGTGGTTCAAGCTCACCAGCTGCTCCTTGGAAACCCTATACAGGGTCGCTATGGGTTGGAATCGACTTGATAACAACAACATACTTTGGTATGTTTCATTCACATTAGTTAATCCCAGTGTCGGTGCTTCCTGCTGGACTTTGTTTGGCACTCCTCCCAGTCCCCAGGTCCTATGGGAGTCTCTATGCTATCTAATTTGAGGACATTATTTCCTATGTCCTCAAGCAGCCCTTTGACAGATCTAAACAGGCATAACAGTAAATTGGCAAAAATAAGGTTTGTTTCACACAGTCCTATGCCAGACAGGACTCTGTACTCAGAGAATGCAGCCCACAGCTTACGGCTCTCCGCCACAGAAGCCACCACTAAGATATGCTGCTGCTGCAGAGGTATAAGAAGAGGAAAGAATGTTAATGGTAAAAGAAAAAAGAGAGAATCCATACCATCTTCCCAGAGGCTTTTTCTTTATTCAATGTTCACTTAATTCCCTGGTTTCAGTTTGGACACTGTGAATTCACCAATTTTGTTTGATTTTTTTATATATATACTCCTAGGGAGATGGGCACATGCATTTAATGGATGGGAACATTTCATGAATGTTTTCTATCCATTAAAATTATTCTTGACTCAAAAAGACAAACTCAGTGAGGAATTTAGAATCTCAGAAATGAGCCGTTGGGTATGGAAAGCTTACATAAGTCAACACTTTCCCTCCTACCATGCAGAAGGACTGAGTTAAGGAAGTGCCCTTACCTCACTCAGGACTCAGTGACTGACTTGAAGTTCTGTTGCTCTAGCTTTATTGTATCCAGAATCCTGCTTTGGGACAGATGGTTGACTACTCAGCAATGGATCATTCTTTAAGGTCTCCTTCCCCAACCCAAGAATGTGAATGTCACCAGTATACCTGCTCTTGATGCTTTATTTCTAAACACCTTTGCTATCATCTTGGTTCTAGATCTAAGTCTTGGGCAAGGGGTGCTAAATGTGATGATTCCTAAATAGCCCTGTACATCCAGACATCCTAACGTCCATGCTGTTCCTTCCTCTACAGGTCACTCCACTGTTTACCACCATGGAAGAACACTCACTGTCCTTTCATGCCCCATGTTCTGCATCCTTCTCTTCTGGTGCGCCTTTCCATGAGGATTGCAGCATTTCATCTCAGGCAGGGGTCATCAACATTGAAAAGGACTTGATGGATGGTAAACTCCTGAATGTGATCTCTGAGGCCATGAAGACTTGGAAAACAGTGCCAAGTACCTCAGTGAACATTGCTGTGACAGGGGCCTCTGGCAACGGCATGTCTTCTTTCATCAATGCGCTGCGCAACATTGGACATGAGGAGAAAACCTCAGCTCCCACTGGAGTAGTGAGAACCACCTATAAACCTACATCCTATTCATCCTCCTATTTTCCAAATGTAGTGTTGTGGGATCTGCCTGGCATGAGTACTTCCCCACAGGCTCTGGAGGATTACTTGAAGGAAATGCAGTTCAGTCAGTATGACCTCATTATCATTATTGCATCTGAACAGTTCAGCATGAGTCATGTGATGCTTGCCAAAGGCATTAAGAGGCTAGCAAAGAAGTTCTACATTGTCTGGACCAAATTGGACACAGACATCAGAACAAGTGCACTTAAGAAGGAACAACTCTTGGAGACTATCCAAGAGCATATTCTGGAAAACCTCCAGAAGGAGCAGGTGTGTGAGCCCTCCATATTCTTGGTTTCTAGTCTGGACCCTTCACTGCATGATTTCCCAAACCTCATGAAGACATTGCGAATGGACATTTTCCGTATAAGGTGCCAAGAACCCCTTCAGAATCTGTTACACACCTGTGAGAAGATTATTAATGAAAAAATGACCTCACTGAAGAAGAATATAGACACACAGTCTTTCCATTGCATCATTGACCCTGAAAATCTTGATAATTCCGAAGAGTGTCTAAAAGCCTACAAAGTGCTTTTTGGTGTGGATAATGAATCTCTCCAACAGGTGGCTCAGAAAATAGGCACTGAAGTCCTGAAATATACAAGCAACATGAAGTCTCAGGATCTACAGATTCTCAGCAATGTGGACTGGGTGATTTATTTGGCAAATTGTAATGCAACCTTTTACTTAAATTGTATGTTTAACTTGATACCATTCTTAGGTAATTCTATGACCCAATACCTGAGATGGTTAAAACACACATACTTCCTCCAGATAGTTGCTGAGGACACCAAAACCATTCTGGGAAATTTTTTGAGAGATTCCATCTTCTAAAGAGCTCACCTTTCACAGGCATGTTTTGGTGAAGTCAGAGCAACTGGTTACTCTTCTCAGCCTCTACACTCTCATAGAACTCAACTCTTCCTTTTCCATGAGATTAGATACTTGATGTTAATGAACTGACTTGGTCATTTTGTACCACCTTGCTGTTGTTGTTACTGTTGAGTCAGTTCTGACTCATAGCAATCCTTAGAGGGCTTCCCTGGAGTATCTGGTGGATTTGATCTACAAACATTTTGGTTCACAGTCCAGTGTTTATCCTACAGTGCCACACCAGAACTCCACTTCAGCAAGCACCATAATATGTTATAATCTTTAGGAGTTTGTTTAATTTCATTAGCTAAATCTGAATATGGGTCAACACCTTCTTTTTATTTGCACAGTGTCACATATATCCCAGTTTTAAATACTTCTTTCATACTTTGGACTGCTGTTAGGAGGGACCAGTCATTAGAGAAGGATATCATGTTTGGTAAAGTGGAGAGCCAGAGAAAAAGAGGAAGACCCACAATGAGATGAGATTGGCACAATGGCAGTATCAATGGATTCAAATGTAGCAATGACTGTGACGTTATGTAACAACGATTGTGATGTTATGTAGCAACAATTGTGACGTTGGCCCAGACTGTCCAGTGTTTTGTTGTGTTGTGCATAGGGTCACTATGAGTCGGTACTGACTCGATGATTCCTAACAACAAGCGCAACAGTTTTAAATATATTCCCTTAGTATTTACAGTTAAAATAATTCTTTTTTATTTGATGGCTTTTAGTTTTCCCTTATACTTTTGCTTCTCAGATCCAGTTCTTTGGACTTACAGAAACACACCTGTTTCAGAAGGAAGAACACCATTTGGGGATAGCTGTTGGAGGAGAATATTGAAAGTGCCATGGGCTGCCAAAAGAGCAAACAGATCTGTGTTGGAAGAAGTGTAGCCAGAGTGCTCCTTGAAGGCCAGGATGGCCAAACTTCGTCTTCAATACTTCAGACATATTTTCAGGAGGGACCAGTCACTAGAGAAAGATATCATGTTTGGTAAGGTGGAGGGTCAGAGAAAAAAAGGAAGACCCCCAGTGAGATGGATTGGCCAAATGGCAGCATCAATGGGCTCAAGCATGGCAACAATAGTGAGGTTGGCCCAGGATCGGGCAGTGTTTCATTCTGCTGTGTATAAGGTCACTATGAGTCGGTACCGACTTGATGGCACCTAACAACAACAATGCAGAGTATAATTTTAACTGTTCTCTGAAAAGTATTATGTGTTAAATAATTCCACGATGCAGATGCTGATCTGGCTGCCTATGAAACCCGGTCCTTTAGCTTCTCCTCAATCAATACCAAAACAATCTACTTTTTTTTTTTTTTTCAAAGGCCTTGGGAAAGGCATAAAAGTGCCATTGTTACACCAGTAAGAAATTATCAAATGCAAAATCAAACTCCTACCGTAAGTACAGACACTGCCCCCTTCAAAGGTGCATCCTCTCCCTTATTCTACATACACACTATCATGGCAGTCCTGAATTTCTTGCAATCCCTAACTCAGTGTGTCTATAGTTGCACTGTACAACCCTACCCATGTACTCCTGCTTCTACAATCACTGAATCCTTTTCCCTTTGCCCTGCTTTCCATTCTCTCTTTTCTCAGCTCATTCATTTATACCTAGTTATCTAAGAGGGAAAGCTCTAGACTTTACACTGTAGAGTTACACTGGTTAATAATGAAAGGAAAAAACCCAAAGTCAAATGGTATTTGTTGAGGAAAACACACAAGATGGAATAAACATTCCTGGCACGGATGTTATTTTAATGAGGCAAAAACACTTTAGGATGTACTTATAGATGCTGACCGAAGAAATACAGTAGTTTAAGGATTTTCAGCCAAGATGAAGTTGAGCTGGGTATGAGAAAACCCTGCTCTGAATTTAAATATACACCAATTCTTTCTCTTGCAAACACTGAGATAGAGTGGTACCAGCAGCACTCCAGGACTTGGGTTCAAGTAAATACCAGAAACGCAAGCGAGATTAGCTCACATCCTGGGATATGCCATTAAGAAAGAAGAGACCACGCATAAAAGTTCTGTGTTTTACTCCCTTATAAGATGTTTTATGAGTCCTGGTGTGACACTGTAAGATAAGCAGTGGACTGCTAACCCACAAAGTTGGTAGTTCAAACCCATAAGCTGCTTCTTGGAAATCCTACAAGAACTGACTCAATGGCACTTAACAACAACAAAGATGTTTTATAGGCCAGATTGGTGTTACTCAGTTCCCTAGGTATGTGTCCTTGAAGGACGACCTACTGCTGAGGGCAGAGGAGAAGTCTAGCTCCTTGGAGGGCCTCCAACCAGAATCCCAAAGAACTACATAGCCATGACATCCCAGAGCAAGTTCCACCAACAACACCCAACAATCTTTGCTGCTCACTCCATCTTGAAACCAACTTGTACATGTACCTTATTATCATAACTCAGCCTAAATGGGCTACTTCCTGGAAATCTCTGCCTACCCCTATAAATAAACATAATGCTTTTCCTTGCCTGAAAAACCTTTATATAAACCTCAGCTAATGTGGCGCTGAGGTAGCGTAGTTGTTACGAATCGGGCTGCTGACCTCAGGGATAGCAGTTTGAAACTACCAGCTATTCCACGGAAGAAAGATGAGGCTTTCTGCTCCCGTAAAGATTTACAGCCTCGGAAACCCTGTGCAGGGTCGCAATGAGTCGGAACCAACTCCATGGCACATAACAACAATGACAATGTGGCACTGTGGGTTAGTGCTCTGGACAGCAAAGCCATTGGAACTAGATGGTCGGTAGTTCAAGATCACCAGTCACTCCTCGTATACCCTACACATGGTCACTATGGGTCGGAACCGACTCAATGGCACTTAACAACAACAACAAACTTTTCTTGGAGTTGTTGGAGGAAAAAAACCTAGCTTTGTTTGGTCGCTGTCTGTCCTTATTCATGGGCTCTTTACTCTCCCCCCTTCCCGCCCCCCCTCCCCCCCACTAATAAACCTTGGTCATATTGAATCCCTAAGCCTTTCCTGGTCATTCTTGGTCAGTAAAAAGTAAGGGCTTAGTCCAAGGTTGGGAAAAATCCTCCCCTGGTAACAATGTAATTACTGCCTCTGGTAAAGTTTTACAAAAAAAGAATAGAGTCTTTTGTAATTCACATGTTACATTGTCAAGGTGTTTCTTACCAAGTTGTTATCAAGTTACAGCCAGTATCTTTTTGTGTGTGTAGATGAGGGATAGGCATAAGGAATAAGGGTACAAGTACATGGCACAAACCCATCCTCCCACAATCCTTTTACTCAATTCAGTTTGATAATTCATTGCAATGACCACATAGAACTTAGACCATAATCAGAGTTATGAGGTTCCTTAGGGAAATTAACAGATTACAGCATTGTAATTCAAGATAGATTTTGAATTATTCTTTTTAAGATGAATGTAATGCCATTCCTCTTCAATTTGCCATTCTCAGCATAGTAAACCATATAATTGTTAAGATTTAAAATGGCCAATACCAGTCCATTTCAGCTCTCTAATGTCTAAGATATCCATCTTTATGCATTCCATTTCATTTTTTGCATTTTCCAATTTTCCTAGATTCATACTCATTATATTCCATGTTCTGATTATTAATGGATGTTTACAGCTGTTTCTCCTCATTTTGAACTGTGTCCCATCAGGAAATGGAAGTCCTGAAGCTTTACTCCATTAATGTCATCATGATCAACTCTACTTTGAGGAGGTAGCACTTACCCAGTTGCATTTTGAGTGTCTTCCAAGCTGAAGGGCTTGTCTTCTAGCACTATATCTGACAATGTGGCTGTTGTCATTGTTAGGTGTTGTCAAGTTGGTTCTGACCCACAATGCACAATAGAACTATGCACTGCCCAGTCCTGTGCTAATTCACAATTGTTTCACTTGAGCCTATCTTGCTGACCCAATGCCAATCCATCTTGTTGGAAGTCTCCCTCTTTTTCACTGACCTTTCATTTTACCATGCATGATGTCCTTCTCCAGGACTGGTCCCTCCTGACAATATGTCTGAAGTATGAGAGATGAAGCCTGGACATCTTGGCTCCTAAGGGGCATTCTGGTTGTACTTATTCCAGCACAAATTTGTTTGTTCTTCTGGCCATCCATGGTTATTTTCAATATTCTTATCCACCACCATAACTCAAGTTCATCAATTCTTCCACAGTCTTCCTTATGCACTGTCCAAATTTGACATGCACATGAGGTTATTGAAAATACCATGGCTTGGATCAGGTGCACTTTAGTCCTCAAACTGACCTCTTTGCTCTTGAACACTTTGAAGAGGTCTCGTGCAGCAGATTTACTTAATGTAACACATTGTTTTCTCTACTGCTGCTTCCATAAGTGTCAATGGTAGATTCAAAGAAAATGAAGGCCTTCACAACTTCAATCCTTTCACCATTTATCGTGATGTTATTCATTGGTCCAATTTTGAGGATTTTTGTTTTCTTAATACTGGGATGCAACTCATAGGCTGTGAAGTCCTCTTCACTTTCAACAAAGTTGTATCATCTGCATATTTCAGGTTGTCAATGAGTTTTCCTCCAATCCCGATGCCACGTTTTGCTTTATATAATCTAGCTTCACAGATTATTTGCTCAGCATGCAGATTGAATAAGTATGGTGAAAAAATACAACCTTGTCTCACACTTTTCCTGATTTTTAAACCATTCAGTGTCCCCTTGTTCTGTTCAAACAACTACCTTTCTGTATAGGTTCCTTATCAGTACAATTAAGTGCTCTGGGATACTCATTCTCCCCAATGTTGTCCATAGCTTGTCATGTTCCACACTGTCAAAAGCCACTGTATAGTCAATAAAGCACAAGTAAACATCTTTCTTTTATTCTCTGCTTTCATCCTAAATCCATCTGACATCAGCAATGATATCCCCTATTCCATGTCTTTGTCTGACTTCTGGCAGTTCCCTGTCAATGTACAGTTGTAGCAATTTTCAATTATCATTAGCAAAATTCTACTTCCATATGATATTAATAATAGTGTCCAATAATTTCCACATTTCGTTGGATCACCTCTCTTTGGAATGGGCACAAATATGGATCTCCTCCAATCAGGTGGCCAGGTTCCTGTCTTCCAAATTTTTTGGCATAGATGAGTGAGTGCCTCCAGTGCTGCATCAGTTTGTTGAAAGATTTCCATTTGCTTTTCATCAATTCCCAGAACCTTGTTCTTTGCAAAGGCCTTCAGTACACTTTGGATTTTTTCCTTCAGGACCATTGGCTCTTGATCATACGCTACCTCTTCAGACAGTTGAACATCAAGACGAAGCCCCCTCATCCTGGTATCTAAAGAGTATTCGGGTATCTAAAGCACACTTATTCTAAGACATTTATTCATCCTACTGGCAGTTTATAATTTTAATATTCTCCCCCAACACCATAAATCAGAGGCACCAATTCTTCCCCAGTTTTCCTTACTCACTGTCCAGCTTTCACATGCATATGAGGTGATTGAAACTATTATGTCTTGGGTCAGGGATACCATAGTACTGTTATCTTTGCTTTTCAATGTTTTAAAGAAATCTTTTGCAACTGATTTGCTTAATGCAATGCTTTATTTGATTTCTTGACTGCTGTTTCCATAAGTGTTGATTGTGGGTCCAAGCAAAATGAAAAATTTCACAAGTTGAATCTTTTCTCTGTTGATTGTGATGTTATTTATTGGTCCAGTTGTGAGCGTTTTTGTTTTCTTTACACTGAGATGAAATCCATACTGAATTCTGTAATTTTTTTTTTAATCAATATCAGCAAATATTTCTAGTCCTTTTCCCTTCTAGCAAGCAAGGGTGTATCATCTGCAAATCACAGG